CCTTTCTGCAATCCAGGTGCCTCTGTGCCGAGCGTGGAGGAGCCTGCAGTTTGAAAGAGCTCTAGACAGGGAGAGAGAGAAAGGATTCTGGGGCAGGATTTTGCTGCAGGTGGAGGGTGACTGAGCAGTAGCGACCCAGTAGTAATGACAGTGTAAAAATGTTCAAAACTCTCAGGCTTGAGTCTTCAAGGGCAGCAGAGAGGAAAGTTATAACTTCGGCCCTTGTGTTAGTCATCCGCTGTGTCTGTGAATCTCATCTAAGGTGCTTCCCCCTCCAGCCACTGTCTTCCCAGGGCTGTTCCTTCTCACGCCAGGGTTTTGTGAAGGTGTTTGGCCTGTCAAAATCTTACTGTTAAAGAAATGTGAGGTAATACAGATGATGTGCTTAGATTTAACTAAAATCCTCTGCGGCAGTCACGGGAGGCAAGAGCTCACTAGTGGAGTGGCTTATTTCTTAAAAGGGGGAAAACTGTGCCAAGTTTAGAAGCTTGCTGAAAAACAACTGGGTAGTTGACACTGTAAAATGTCTCCGTATCTTGCGGACAGGGAGACAACTAGGAAGCTTAGAGCAAACAGGATATCAGCTTTGTAGAAAGAAAACAGTTGCCATGCTTGAACGGGGAGGTGAAAGAGAATGTTAGAAATAAGAAGACATCTTTCAAGAAGTTGAAGTTGTCTGAATGAGGAAAGTGGGGCAAAAAAAGAATGTAAATCCTGCCAGACTGAAAGTAAAACCCCCGTAAGACAGGACCAATAAGACAGCTTGAGGAACAACTCGCAAAAGCATAAAATCCTGTTTATTCATTTTCCGAGCATATCAGACAGAAAGTCTTTCAGGGTCAGGAGCAGATCAAGGTATATGAAAAGCACTTGGAGAAGATAAAACTATAAGGGAAGAAAGAAGTGACTGCCTTTGTGTTCACATTCACCGGGGAGGAATTTAGGTTAGTTTCTGTCCTAGAACCCTGCTTTTTGGGCAATGTCTCAAATGGAAGTGATAGTACAAAGAAGAGCCTTTAGCTTGAAAAAAGGGTCTGGGTACCCCGAGCCTCTGTGAAGCTGAGTGGTACAAAAATGAATAGGGCTGGTTTGCTGCTTTTCCCAGTACAGGATGGGATCAGCACATCAGATTAGGAATGGGTTCAAAGCAAAACCACGTAAAATCTCCACAGGACACTGAAGATGTTCATGGGTTGAACGTGGGTTCAGAAAGGAATTGTGTAAGCTCACAGGAAAAAAAAAAGCCCAGCAAGAGCTACTCAATACCCCTGCCGCCTCTGGTTTAAGAAATTCCGGAGCTGAGCTGATCCCAGGTGGCTGGGATGCTATTCTGGAGAAATACTGCTGTGAGCCTGTGCTGTTCTTGGGCATCTGACTGGTGCCAGACAGAGTGCCTGAGCTAAGTGGTATACCCTGTTATTGCTGGTCTTAGCAAAAACACCCCAAAAATTATTTGGCAGTAATGGGAATTATTTGACGAGCGTTGGTGCATTTTTTGCCTGATTTCCATCCTCTCTCAGATGCTGTCAGAACAGCATTTTGTGTGTTTAGTGCTTCAACCCTAGTTACTAATCTTCTTTTTCTCCCTTTTCAGACTGTTTTTAATCTGTGCTCTAAGTGCAAAGTGGAGGCAGCCCTGTGGAGCAGAGTTACTGTGCTAGTTAACTCCAACAAGTTCTCCCTTTGGAGTTTATTATTGTCACACTCACTTGGTAAAAACCTTCTCTCCCTGATACAGACAGTTCAGGAACCAAGCCCAGCTCTTAGCTGATATATATAGAAGCTTGTTTTGGTAGTGGAGGTGAGGTTAGAAGTATATGAGCAACTGATGTCATCTACCTGGATTTGTGAAAAGCTTTTGACACTGACCCGCACAACATCCTTGTCTCTAAATCGGAGAGACAGGGATTTGACAGATGGAGCACTCGGTGGATAAGGAATTGGCTGGTTGCACTCAAAGAGTTGTGGTCAGCTGTTGGATGGCCAAGTGGAGAGCAGTTCCTTAGGGGTCGGTGTTGGGGCCAGCCGCTGTTTAACATCTTTTTTGGTGACATGGACAGTGGCATCGATGCACCCTCAGCAAATTCACCAATGACACTGAGCTGTGTGGTGGGGGACACGCTGAGGGCAGGGGTGGCATCCCGAGGGACCTGGGCAGGCTGGAGAGGGGGGCCCGGGCAAACCTCATGGAGTTCAACAAGGCCAAGGGCAAGGTCCTGCCCGTGGGTCGGGGCAATCCCCAGCACAAACCCAGGCTGGGCGAGGAGTGGCTGGAGAGCAGCCCCAAGGAGAGGGGCTGGGGGGGTTGCTGGGGGGAAAACTGCCCGTGAGGCAGCCCCGTGCGCTGGCAGCCCAGAACCCACCCGTGCCCTGGGCTGCAGGCAGAGCAGGGGGGGCAGCAGGGCCAGGGAGGGGATTCTCCCCCTCTGCTCCGCTCTGGGGAGACCCCCCTGCAGTGCTGGGGCCAGCTCGGGGGCCCCCAACAGCAGAAGGACCCGGAGCTGCTCGAGCGGGGCCAGAGGAGGCCACGGAGATGCTGGGGGGGCTGGAGCAGCTCCCCTGGGGGGCCGGGCTGAGAGAGTTGGGGGGGTTCATCCTGGAGAAGAGAAGGCTCCGGGGGGACCCTGAGAGTGGCCTCCCAGGGCTTAAAGGGGGGACAGGAGAGGTGGGGAGGGACTCTGGGTCAAGGGGTGGGGGTAGGATGAGGGGGGACGGTTTTAAATTGTAAGAGGGGAGATTTAGACGAGATTTAAGGCAGAAATCCTTCCCTGTGCGGGGGGGGAGGCGCTGGCCCAGGGTGCCCAGGGCAGCTGTGGCTGCCCCCTCCCTGGAAGGGTTCAAGGCCAGGTTGGACGAGGCTGGGAGCCCCCTGGGCTGGGGGAAGGGGGCCCTGCCCGGGGCAGGGGGGTTGGGGCTAAGTAATCTTTAAAGGACCCTTCTGACCCAAACCCATCTGTGATTCTATGATAATACTAGAAATAAATGTGACCTTTACCTACTTCCCTGCTGGTCTTCTTGTGGTTTCAGGGATCAGAGGAAGCAGTTCCAGATACTGGTAGAAAACAAATTCTATGAATGGCTGGTTCAGACAGGGAACCGTCAGCAGCTGGATAGCCTTGTTCCTCCTGCAGTAGGCTCCAAGCAGGCAGCAGGATAGCATCGTGTTCCTGTACAGCAAAGGGAAAGGAAGGGTGAGTAGAGGACCTGTTTCTCTTGATTCTTCTCTATCTAGAAGAATTGTCCCATGTTTGTGTGCACAGCCTACGCAGAGGGGGAAGAAGTAGGAGGCTGTTCAGTGGATGTTCTCCCGAGAGCCTTGCATTTGGTTTTAGTTCTTACTTTGCAGACAAAACCTGCTTTCAATTTGAATCTGTTCCCAGTGTACTCAGCACCTCCTTTGTTCTCTGCAGGCGTTCTCTTTGATTTGTTGGGGACATCTGTGTGCATCTGTAAAGGCAGATAGGCATATTGTGCATAATCTGATGTAAAAACTTATTTTAATAACTGCTCTTTCAGAGAGGCTGTGTGTATTAATGACTGTATTTACCTGTCTCACCTCTTGCTTAAGAGAATTAAGTGAGGCTTCAAATAATTCTTGCTTTGTAGTGTCTTTCTTTGCCCAAGTAAAGTGGTTTAGGAGCCAGAGACAAGCCCTTATGATACTTTTCTGCTATTGCATGTTTCAAACCATTATAAAGTTGGGGTTTTTTTTTTTGTTTTTTTTTTTTTTTTCCCTCCTTTTCTTTAGTCTATGAGTTGCTTTTTCTTTGCTAATGTTGAGAGTAAAATTTGCTCCTCTGATTTCGTTACAGAGTTCTGGGAACAGGCAACGATACACTGAAAACAGTTCTCATTAAGACTCTGCAGCCACCCTGACTGAACACACTCGACGGGGATCTGACACCCAGCCTCGGTGTGGATTGGACTGTCTGTCTGGTTTAGGAATCCTAATCGCTGCGGCTTTCCCAGGAACGTGCTGTAACTATTCCACTGGTAACTGAGAAGGTGCATGTCACTAGAGGATGATGAAGTATGCCTTGTTGCAGACCCTTTAGTGGGGAGGCTGTCGTCACGGGTAGCGTCCGTGGTGTGCAAGTACCCAGCAAAGGAGCCCCTTCCTGGTGCGGAGCGTCCTTATGGGATGAGCCAGCTGCACTGTTTTTACAAATGTGAAAAAGAAATGTTTGATTTTTTTTTTTTTTAATGAATGAAATTAATTGGAGTTTTTTTTATATGAAGATGGCACTTAAGCAATGTGATTTTTATGGAATTAACTTTCTTACACGTTTGCGTTGTTTTGACAAATGTCAATAAAACACAGTTCTCAGATAAGCCTGCCACACGCGTCCTGGGGAAAGGGTTTTACTTGTCCAGTGGGTGTTACGGGGACACCTCTTTACTGCTTAATGATATGTGAACTGATCAACTGAGAGAAAAGTCCTAATTTATTAACAGCCATGGATTTGGAAGGTTTTGAAGGCTGCTCTAGCACAGCATTTTGATCCAAACTCTGTTTCCCACCTTTAATATTTCTTGTAAAGAGTATCAGCTTGAACGAGTACCATTCTCATGTGCTAGTGGAACCTGTCCTGGGAAGATGTGCTCGCAGCTGAGCACCTAAACAAGCTGGACAAAATAGACAAAGGAATTGTATGGATGACTGAGAGAGCAGCAGCTCCATGTGCTTTCTGAAGAGCTATCCAACCTGAGAGCGAGAGGAAGGCAGGGGCATTCAGTGCTCTGCTGTACACGGCTGTTGTGGTGCTAGAATTTTCCTGAAGGTCTCTCTTGGCTCCTAGGGAAGCAGGTGACGCAATGCAAGGTGAGTTTTTTACATTTAACCAACTTTTAAAAGAGGGATGTGCACAGTGACCACGGTGGAGCTTTGGGATGTCCTAGTGAACCTACTGGGTTGCCTTTTGATAGGACTCGGATCGTGGTTGAACTCTGATCTTCATAAGACAGCATTTGAATAAAAAAAATAAATAAATCCAATTGGCCTCACGGCTTTCTAGCAGTGAGAGCTGTAACCAACAGCACTGGGTGATTCAGGGCCCCTAAAACGGGAAGAGGATGAGATGCTGCTGGGCATGTCTGCCTCAGGCCGTCATATCTGACTGCGTTTAGGAGAGCTGCTGCGGTGTGCATGGGGTGGCATGCAGAGCTGCTGTTGTGAGACTGCTTGTCCTGACAGATTTGAAAGAGGCTCTGTGTGTTTCAGGGGCTGCCATGCCAAATTCGTTTCCCTTTGTTTCACTAAGCCTTTGGGCTGGTGCAGTGAATAGCTGCAGAGGTGTTTTTTCATAATGCGTTGGCGGGGACTCTGGGTGTACATAAGCCAGCAATCCTCGCCCTCCCTGCTCAGTGGGCCAGAGTGTGGCTAAAAGAAAAACTTTTGCTCAAACCTCAGACAGCGGTGTAAGAGTTTTGAGTTAAATTTGTGACACCAGTGATACGGTCAGAAATTTGGGCATCATTCTTTAATATTTGATGTGTGAAATCACTCACTGTGGGGGGTGTGTGGCCAGACATACTTCTTTGCCTCTATGTCAGGCACCGTTTGGAGCAATATAGCTCAAGCTGAGGGGGTGCTGTAAAGATATGCAGCCTCTTTGCTGCACAGATGTTTCCATCGTGAGCTTTGGAAGCAGAGCCTCCGTGCAGCGGCTGTTCTTTGCAAGCCTGTGGTGTCCGCCCCGAGCACGTGTTGACCGTTTCCTAGCGGCATCCTTTGCTGCACGGGAACATTCTCTGATAAATACTGGGTTTCTTCCTTACAAATGGGGGTGGGCCTTTTATAGCTGATGTTTCACACGCTTGAAAGGCAGAGAGCAGCCAGATTGCCCCCCCCCCGTCTTCCAGGACTTGGCAGGGGGCTGCGTGTTTTGAGTGCATTTGGCAGAGTTTTGGCGTTCTGACTCAGCAAATGGTAACAAAGGGAGGATGGTGAAGCCTTCCTTTATTCCCTAATCCTGCTTGCTTTTCTGGAAATCGGCTATAGCCTCAGAATCACTGACTCAATTTTTGGATCCTATTCTCATGACAAAGCGGCTGTCTGGTTTAAAACAAGCCCATTATAAAAAGGGTGCCTCAGATCCTGGCTGTTTGTAACAGCTTCCGACGACCCTCCAGCACTGGGGAGCTTGGCTGGAACAGAAAATGTCCAGAGCTGGAACCAAGGTAAGTTTATTTGCAGCTTATTCGTGACTGCGGCAAGGAGTACAGAATTTATCAGGGGTAAGTTGGGGATAAAGTTTGGTCTCTTTGTTCTGCTACCAGCCTCCTTCTCCTCTGTCAGTCTGTCGGCAAGAGGAGACGCGTGAAATCCCACCGCAAAGGGAGGGAAGCTGGAGCTGAGCCCTCCTTAGTCTTTTCCCAGATCTTGGCTGTTACCTTTAAGTGTGGCTTTGCAAGAGGATGGAGTCGAACACAGTGACGGGTGAGGGGATATTTTAAGTTGCACCAGGACCTGATGCCTTGTAAATTGACGGTGGAGGCTGCTATGCCAACAGCAAGCGTGACGAGTTGTGTTTGCAGAGCGGAGTCTCGTGGAAGGCTTCCTCGGGAGAACCCGAGTCCCCCTTCCACGGTGGAGCAAAGGGTGCGCTGCGACAGAAAGATGCCCGAGTGATGACCATAGCACCAAAGGCAATAGCATTCCCTCGGGGGTGCGAACCGGCCTTGTGATTTGGTGGAATCGGCAGAGGGGAATTTAAAACTGGAGGAGGAGGTTGATCGGAAAGCTCAACTCCAGCTAGAAGGCCGTGCGTGAGGTGGGGATCCAGCTCGAAAGGCTGTGTTCTTCAGTCTTGAATCAGCAGAGCTGAGCTGGCTGGTCACCCAGACCTTGTCGCAGGGTTGGGACTGGGCAGGAATAAACAGCTGGGAAAGGAGCGCGAGAACTTGGGGCTAGCGGCCAGCTTCTATGAAATGTTAAACAACTGTTAAGAGGCTGTGGACAGACACACATCTTTCCATTGTATGAGTTTTGCTTTTGGGTTGCATTCCTTTTAACCTATGGAGACTAAGACCTGAGAGGGCAGCGGGCTCAGAAGTTGAGTGGTTTTGTAGGCACTGGCCGATGCTATGGAAGATCTGGATTCAGTCTCTGCTTCTCCGCACCTTTTGTCGGTGATCTTGGCTCAAAGCGATTTGACTATTTCTGAGCAGTCTTTAAAAACGGAACACGGTGTGCTGCTTCCTTCTGACTTCTGTCAGATTGCAGTGGTGCAGTCTTTACGTACCGGCGCATAAGGAAGGTGCTGGGGAAATGTAACTGATCCATGCTCGAGTCTCCTGGCTGCTTAAAGAGACTTAAATACGCGCTGCCCTTACCCCTGCTGAAAGCTCCGTCCCCTGTGAGCGTGCTGCAGGGAATTTGTTGATTACGTGCTGCTGTGGTGCAGCAAAATGTCCAGAGGAGTTAAATCAGTGAAAGAGTGCGAATCTCATCTTTGCCCCATGCTACGCTCTTGTCTAGCACATTCCAGGGAGAAGAAAAGGCCAAAGGAGAGAATCAAGCACTATTTTTTTCATGACCGAAGCAAGTAGTCTGCCCTAGAGACGGGTCACTGCCCCCACGCTGCTTTCTTAGAAGGCAGTGGGCACTACTAGTTATTTTTTTACAGTTATTGTCTGAGTTTCCTTCTAACAGAGCTGCTGTTGGGAAGAAATATAGCTGCTATGAGGTGGCCAAGGGAGTAAGAGTTTTACAGTCCCCTAAGGAAGATTTGCTATGGCAAATTTATTATCTGCCAGGGAAGCACCCAAGAAGCAAAGTTTGGGCAGTGAGCGGTTAGCGGGTTGGTGCTGTGAGCAGAGAAACTTCGTGGCTTTACTGAGGGAAGGCGGTTTGCCTCGGAGTAAGATGTGACTGAAACCTGTAACTCACCTGTCACTATCCTGCGGGTGAAAAACATCAGTCTGGTCTGTGCCTGAATCATTGGAGGAAAACTGAGAAGCACTGGGTGCGAAGGTCTAAAATGAACTGAGAGAGTGTGCAAAGGGCTGTGGTAGAGGGTGGGTGGGCAGGAGCCTTCTCCTTAAGTCTCCCTATAAATGAACTCAGAACGAAACAGCGAACAACACTTGTGGTTGGTCACTGGCCATGCCCTTAGCGTGCTCTTGGATTTCTTTGGCTTCAGGGCTTTATAAGTGCAGGGAGAATACCCTCCTAGGAGCACCAGGTAGCTTTGCCCAACTGAAGTTCAGCTCTGGGTGGGGAAGGGACATCAAAAGGAGCTTTGATTTTCTGCTAGAAAATTAAAGGCCAACTTAACCAACTTCGGGCGCAGTTGCTGCGCTGAGGCATCGCGAGAGGGGCTGGTTCTGCTGGGGGCCAGCCACAAAATCAAGGCAGCTCACGTGGAGCCAGGACCAGAGGTGATGGAGACCAACTCCTTTCCCACTGCTGATGGTCCTGCTGTCAGGCAGGAGGAGGCATCCCTCTGCCCGGGCGGGGTGCTGCCTGCACGGAGACCAGACCTGTGGTCTTACAGACGTTGGGCAGAGTTCAGTATTGACCGTGCTGGATGCTCACTGCGTGGTCAGGAGCGGGACTGCGGATCGGAAGGGGCTGCAGAGCTTGGGGAGGGAGGTTGAGGAAAGGAGAGCTCGTCTGCTGCCGCAGTGCAGGGTGATGTCTGAGCATCCCCGCCGAGGGGGCTGGCAAGGGGGGCTGTGGCTTCCTCGACCGCTGGCTTCAAGAAGAGGATTCCTGGTGGTGAGTGGCTGCCACGCCGCAGCGAGCAGGGCTTTCAGTGTTGCCTCCAGCAGGTTTTTCAGGTGGTAGCTCTAGGGACAAAGATCCTGAAGCAGGATCTGTAAAACGACAGCGGGATTGTGGCTGGCAAGGACTGACCAGCATGGATAACTACCCAATGGTAGCTGTGTGGGAAAACGGGAGTTGGATTTTTTTGTGCACACCTTTTACAACCTTTATTTACTGGCTGGAAAGATGGTAGTGATCTCCCAACTCTCCGTTGCCCTGAAGATGGGGAGAGCTTGCTCGGGGGGGAGAGATGTGGGGACAGGTTGTTTTGTATGTGCCGACTGCTTCGTAATGGGAGATCAGTCTCTTGAAAGTCAGAGGAAAATGTGAGGGAAACAACATTATCCTAATAAAGGTCTACTAAAGGCTACAAGACCAAGGGCATAAATCCTCTGGCATGATTAATCTAACTCCCCAGATATCTGGTCAGGTAGGTGGGACGCACCGACCAATCAGCTCTAGGAAAACCGTGGCTAACTTATTTTTTAGCACAAAATGAATGAAGGGAAAAAAAAAAAAAAAAAAAAGTGGGTTGTCCTAGATTTGGCTCTATCTCCTGGGTTGAAACTATGACAACGAACAGTATTTTTAAAAGCAGTGATGTGAGATTGATACCAGTAGCCAAAGCACCATAGGTGAAGTACAACCAGCTAGGAGCAGAAGGTGATCATGTATCTTGTTACTCAAGCTGTAGAAAAACCATGGGAAATATGGATTATGGCGTACTGCGTGCTAGATGTTTAAATCACTGTGGCCAGAAAAATTCTCTCCAGAGCATCTGAGGGAATTAGCTGAGGCAATCTCAGATGCTACCAAATAACCCGGCAGCAAGTATGGGGCTGATGCCATACTGGAAGACGGGAAAAAGTGAAATATTTCGAGTATGCACGGCATTGAATTAACTGGCTCGCCCATCAGTTGATGCAATGCAAGGCTGTAGAAGACACTGGAGCAAGTAACCAAACCCCTGTTAGGGTGAAAGATGGACTGGTGATTGGAGACAGGTACAGGTGATCTACTGAGACCGGTTCAGGTCAAACTAATGTAATTTTTGATGTGGTCTGGCATCACAGCATCACAAGCAAGCAAGGGGTATAGTCAAAATCGACGTGATGATTTGGGAACCCGTTTTGTCATCCGGAAGGATCTGAAAATGGGGCTGTACAAAGGACTGGTCTGCGTCTAGGGCTTGTCAATATTTCCACGACGGGCGTTTTGAAGAAAGCACACATTGCCTCTCCAGGGCTGGCTGGGTTGGTGATACCTCAGGCAAGAGGAACAGGATTTATTCACCAGCTCTCGAGATCATTTTGAAAAAAGGTTGCGATCAGGTAGGGGAAAAAGCATCCCTAAGCAAAGTGCTTTGCAGTCAGCTGCCTGGCTGTAGAGCAGCTCTTGGGAAAGAAAGGTGGTGATGGATCAGAAACTTGCCAGCCGCATTGCAAACTTGCAGCAACCAAAGCAGAATCGGCCAACTGCAAATGCAATCCTCGCGTGTCTGAAGAACTGTGCTATCCACCCTGTACGCGGAGCGCTGCTTTAGTTTTTCTTGGCACTGGTAAAGCTTGTGTGATGTCCAGCTTTTGGCACTGACTTTTGAGAAAGCAAGCTGTGGACCGTTAGAGTGGAAACAAGGAGAACGATCGCAGGGCTAGAAGACATGACCCAGGAGGAAAGAGACCTCACCACTCCCTTATCAGTAAAGGTCTAACTGCAAACACTCGGTAAGCCAAAATAAATGAAATGCTGCTTAGGACAGTCCATTGACTACTTGTGGCTCCCTTGGCCATAACTTAGTAGCTAGTGATCTAGGGAAGGTGGGAGGGAAATGTTTTAATAGTGTTTTCCTGCAAAGAGGACAGGGACTTCAGCGAGGGAGCTCTGGGTTGGATTGGGACAGAGCTAGGTGTTGGGAAGGGTCAGACAACGGTGGCAGCTGGAGGTGTTGGGGCCAGACTGGTGGATTGCCTGCGGGGGTTAGTTGGGATGCAGTTGATCCTGCTCAGTGGTTGGGCTTGATGACTTTTTGGCATCTCGAGGGCTCTGTTTTCAGGTATTTCACTCTGCAATGCAGCTAGAATACAGATGCAGACATGTGCATGCACTGGGTGTTGAGGAACCTCCCAGCTTTCCTTCCTCGGCTTGTGTTTCAGGTCACCTTCTATGAAGACAAGAATTTCTTAGGCCGTTGCTACGAGTGCGACAGCGACTGTCCTGATTTTCACACCTACCTGAGCCGCTGCAACTCCATCCGTGTGGACGGGGGCACCTGGGTGGCCTATGAGAGGCCCAATTTTTCTGGGAACATGTACGTTCTGACGCACGGGGAGTATCCTGACTACCACCACTGGATGGGCCTCAACGACCGCCTCGGCTCCTGCAAAGCCATCCAGATAGTAAGTGTGATCTCTTCCCAAGGGATGTCTTAATTTACACCCCTAGCATTAAAGGGTTTCAGCCTGCTTGTGGGTGGCCCCCCCCCGCCTCTTCCTGGGGACCTGCAGGAGCTCCCTTGGAGAGAATGGCTATAGGGGGTTTGCTCCTGAAGTCCTGCTCCAGGAATGGCAAGGTGTTTGGTGAGTGGAGAAGGTAAACTCTTCCATTCTTGACAGCCATGGGAAAAAGCAGATCTTTCTGAGTGCTTTATAGCGAGTTTCCATAGGAACAGCAGCATAGTTTTATCTGCGTGTTCCTTTAGGGAATTCAGTGTCTGGGCAGGTTGCTCCGGGGTTTGCCTCCTTCCCCCCTGCTGTGCTGCCAGCCGATCCAAATGTGATGGTGGGCACAAGGCTTGTAACAGTGGGATGTAGATTTTGCAGGACACTCGGAGTGAAGGGCAGTTTCTTTGCCTCTCTAGCAAGCCAGGGCTCCCTTCTGATACAGGGAACTGAACCTCAGTGTCACCGAGCCCCTCTGGGCATGGGAAGAGCCCCAGGAGCAGACCTGGAGTGACCAGGAGTGGGAGGGATGCCTGAAGTCCCTCCTTGGGCGTGCCTGGAGCAGCCCGGTGTCTCTTGGTAGTGGGAGAGCACAGGGCAACGTGTGCCTCCCTGCTGCAGCGCAGGAACTGTGCTCATCCCCTCCTAACTGATGATGGGGAGATGCTTCTGCAGCCTCTGGCAGCGCCTGCCCTTCCACCCTGCAGGAGAGGGGATAAATGTAGGTTGACAGGAGCGTTTGCACCCTGTGGAAGCACCGTTGGGGGGTAGAAAGGGACAGAGGGAACGATCCCTTTGGGAAGCAAGCCTATGGGGAGAAGCACCCTTTAAAACTGGCGGGTATGGGAGTGTGGATGGGGTGTGGATTGGGGTTGAGCCGCTGAGTGCTGGTGCTGTGTTTTTGCCAGCAGCGGGGCAGGCTCTGTGGGGACCTGTGCATTGCTGGCTTGAGTGGCACAGCTGCGGGTTGGCATTGAGTGGAGCAGGTCTCACAGCTGAGCAGGAAGTTTTGCTTTTACGTCTGGAGGTCTAGTGCCGCTTCGAGCCTGTTCTGGGTTTGAGCTGGGTCTAAACCCTTTGCACGGAGTGTTTCCAGCCAGTTCAGAGCACTGATCCGGCATAAGAGATGGAGCCAAAACACGTAGGGGGGGATGTAACAGCACCACAGCTTCCTCCATCGGGATGAAATGCAGAGGCCTTATCCTGCGGGTCTACCTGGTGCTGGGCCTTTCCCTTCCTGTGCCTGGGGAGGTGGCACGGAACCCACCGCTCACCGGCGTTGGGTCAGAGCACCCCGGAGAAGCTGCAGAGTCCCCCCCGCAGAGCTCGGCTGGGGCTGGCAACCAGAGCGGGCTCGGGGAGGCGGGGGAAAGACGGTGTCCAGGCAGCTGCAGATTAAAACCGCCGCAGTGCCTTCAGGCAACGCAGCGCTTCAAATCACAGCGGAAAATACCCGCCGCCGCGGCCGCCTGTAATACAACCCAGCTGGGGTCACCAGCTCATTAAACTCCTCATTGCCCGGAGGAGCAGGGAGTGGAGGGGGGGGGGTGGGGGGTGTCTGTCTCTCCTCCTGATGCTCCCGTGGAGTGGCTGAAGGGTTCGAGCCAGCAGCGGGATGGGCAGGCTGCCTGGGATAGAGAGCCCAGCGCTTGCTGATGTGGCCTCATCCCTCCCTGTGAAACTGGGGCTGGGCTTTGAGCTGGAAGTGCTCTGCTCCAGCTCGGCCTCTTTGCACGTGATGCTCGGTCCGGAGTTACCCCGGCTGCCTCCCTGCTGTGCTTTTGGGGCTGATGTGAGCTGTTCAGCTCTGTCCTGGTGTGCTGGGGGGGGGGGGGGGGGGGGGGGAAGTAGTTTGTTCCTGGTCTGAGTCCGACCACGCCTCAGCGCTGCTCCCATCCGCTGGGGACGTGTCGGTGCTCCCCTCCAGCGCTCGTGCCATTTTCTCTCCCCTTCTTCCAGCCGAGTGGAGGCCGGGGCCACATCCAGGTATTTGAGAAGGGAGATTTTGGCGGGCAGATGTTCGAAGCCACTGAAGACTGCCCTTCCATCATGGAGGAGTGGCACATGCGCGAGGTCCATGCCTGCAGAGTGCTGGAGGGCGTCTGGGTTTTCTACGAGCATCCCAACTACCGGGGCCGGCAGTACGTGCTGCCCAAGGGGGATTACCGCAAACCCGTGGAGTGGGGAGCGGCGAGCCCCGCCGTCCAGTCCTTCCGCAGCATCTCTGAGTGAGGCAGACCCTTGACTGGGCTGCTGGAGGCCGTCAATAAAGCAACTGAGTCACTCAGCTCAGCCTGTCCTGCTTATTCCTGGGCTCTGCGTGCGAGTTGTCCTGCTTTGGGGGGGAGCCAGAGCGAAGCTGAGCCTTCTCTGAGCAAAACACCAGCCCCAATTACCTCCGTCTCCCCGTCATCTCCTCCTTCCGGGCTGGCCCCATCCCTTCCCCTCCACCCCGCTGTTCCTCTCCAGGGAAAAGCCATCCTGAAGCTGGAGCTTTGTGCTCCAGCGTTTGGCCAGTCCAATGGAGCAGTGGGACCATCTTACCCCGCCCTGGGTCTCCGTTTTCTGGTGCTAGCTGTGGGTGGCCTCAGTCCGTCGTGACCCTGGGGCGTCCCCTGCTTGCTGTGTGACTGCTGCACGGTGGCTGGGGAAAAGGGCTGAGGTTTACATCCCTGCCACGGGCAGCGTGACCCCCCCACACCTTGGGGAGCCTGAGCAAGGCACCAGTCGCCCTGTTGCTGGAGGAGCATGTCCCTCCCGCGATGCTCAGGGCAACGGGACTGGGGGGGAAGTGAAGATGAGAGGCAGGGATCCCGGAGCGGGTAGGAGAGTTATGGCTGCAAACTCCATGGGGGATGCTGGGGACCCTGGCAGCCCAGTGTGCCAGGTACAGGATCCCCTAGGCGTGACACAAGGGGTCTAGTTGCTTCAAATGGGGCTAAGCACCACGTCAAGCTGGGCAGCTGGAAGGGGAAGGAGAGGCTGGACAGGGACAGAGATGGTCAGTGCCTCTGGAAGGTGCCCTGGGATGGGAGGTCACCGTTGAATGATCTTGAAGGGCAGGAAGGGGTCCCTGGGTACCTGAGACGGGCAGGGAGCAGAGGGGGCTGCCAGGCTCCCCCTCAGCCCAGTTTGCCACCAGCCAGAGCATTCTATTTTGCCCGGTGCTGCTAGCTTTTGCCCATGTTGTCCCGGCACAGCCTCCCGCGCAGGAATAACTGATGTCTGCTGCACAGGGCACTCTCTCTCCTCCCGGGACCTGCAGCCTGTTTGCATATCGAGCCGAGGGGCCTTGGGGTAATGACGCTGGATGTAGAAGCAGAGCCCTTCTAGCCGTGCTCTGCGCTCTCTTGCCGGTTGATGTATGAGGTTATTACGGAGCAGGGAGGCAGGTTTAAGCGATGCTTGTCAAGCCGCCGCGCCGCGACCCCCCGGGAACGTAACTGCTGGTGGGGAGCGGGGAGAGGCTGCTGAGAGGGGCAGCTCCAGCCCCACAGGCTTCCCCTAACGCAAAGGTGGGCTGAAGAACGTCTCCTTCCTCGTCCTCCTCCTGCTGCGACCCTGCAGTTAGTGCATCCCTCCCCCCCCTCCCCACCCCAGCCTTAACCCCCCTGCCCTGTTTCAGCCCTTTGCTGCAAAGGGTGAGGCATCTTCCTGACCAACTTCTGTCCCACCATCTCTCTGTCACGGGTCAGCGGGATGCAGACAATTTGGCATTATGTTTAGGTCTTGGTGCATTTTTGCCCCCAAAATATTTCTGCAGGACTGGCCAGCCCGGCCAGCATTGGGCTCCAGCTCCCCTTTTCCCCCTGGCTCAAGGCATAGCTCTCCGAGAGCTGCCGGCTCCTGCCTGTGCGAGGCACCAGCCTGAGCAGGGCCTGGCCACCTTTTATTTGCAGGGAGCCTGTTGCCATCCCTGTTGTGGAAGGAAAATCTCCTGCAGGTAGGTGTACTCTGACCAGTGCATTTCCAACCATCTCCCACCCTGATTTTGGGGACTGTCTGCCTGGGCAGCGTGCTTCCCCGCCCTGTGTGCCCTGCGGTGGGATTTGTCCCACCCTGCAGTGGGTGCTGGAGCTGCAGTGGGCGCGTTTGGGGTGCTGGAGCCCCGTGGCTGCTGGTGCACATCCACCCCGGAGCATCGGAGGAACCAGACCTGGTTCTGGTTTGCCCTGACACTGACATTTCTTCCCTGCGTCCTTCCCTCCTGATCTACCCACGGCGAAAACGCAATTATCCAAACTCTTTTCCTCCCTCCTCCTCTGGCTGGCTCTTGCCCTCTGGTGAATTTTACATTGTGTCCCGAACGTTGGCAACCAATACGAATAACAATAAAATATGCTAGTTGGGTGGTGGTGGTGGTGGGGGCTATTATTTTTTATTTTATTATTATTCTAGATTACTTTTTTCCATCGGGGGCTCCCTTGTCACGGCTGCCCGCGGAGCAGAGTGCACATGGATATGAGCGGCGGCGAGAGCGAGCGGGGAGCGCAGGCAATCCAAACCCAGCCTGCTGATGCTGTTTTTTGCTTGACAGCTAATTTCCATTTTTCAGTATCAGGGGGTCTGCTCTGGTAATTGGCATGCAGATTGTGTCTGATGGGCCTGTTAGACACGAGAAAAGACTCTGCTAGTTAGAATAAGCCAACCCCAGGCTGATGGATGGGGTGTATGGAGGTCATTGTGAGAGAGAATATACAGATGCCCGCGCGCACGCACACACCTACGAAATTTCACATTTTGTGCCCTCCCCCCACTCCTACTTTCTTTATCCGGCAAACTCTAATCTATCATATTTCATTGATACAAATTCTGCTCCATTTCTCTCTCTTTCCTTTTTCCCTTTAAGGGAAATGTGATGGAACTTACTCCTGGATTTAATAAGAAGATGGTGCAGCGTAGCAGGAATTAAAGCGGTGCCATGCTTCATTAGCAGCTGGGGATCACACGGAGCTGGCCCAGATGTTAATTACACTTTGGGAATTAATTGGCATAAGGCATTCCTCTCCTCTATCACCTATAATCCGGCGAGTGTGCGAGGACTTTTGGAAGAGGAGACATGCCGGGCAGCCGTCTGTCTCCCCTCCTCAGCCTGTCCAGCGCTGGCCGTGACCAAGGGGCACAGGCTGGCTTTGAAATCTTGAAGTCACCTTCATTTCCAGCCCCTTTGGTGCCCAAAGACCTGCTGCTATTTTTCCTTCTTTCCCTGCCTGTGGCACTCTTCTCCAAACTTTTCCTCCAGCTGCTGGGGAGAAGCAGGTCCAGGTGGGACTGAGGTGGCACCACTTTGAAGGAGGGAAGACCACCCCCCTCAAGGCTGGCCGTCCCCAGGGGACCCCAGGACACACTCTGCGAGGGCTGGTGGGATGGTAGCTTCACTTTCTCCAGCTCCCCGGCCCATCCTTGCTGGCTTCTGCCTTCCCTCCAGCTCTGGGTGCAGACCTGTGCTCTTCCCCGTGCCGCACGGGAGAGCCCCCGCCTGCACCTCTCTGCTGCTGAAACCCTCCCAGTTCTCGAAGGAAAATGGTCTCCAGTTTCTTCCCATTTTCCACCTTGGATTCAGCCCGATGAAACGTAAAAGCTTTTAAAAAGCTGGGCGGGAGGGCTTTTTGCCAGAGGGCAGAAATTATATGCTTGGAAATGAAGAATATTCTTCTGAATACTGACAATTTGTTCCTTTTTCTGAGCTGGCTGGTGGCAGCCCAGCGTGGGGCACAGTTATCTCTGTGACGGAGCATCGCATCTTTGGGTTTCTGTCTGGTCTGGGAGAGATTGCTGCATGGTCCCAGTGGGACACTGGTGCTCAGCTTTGCCCTCCCCCCCCGCCCCCCAAATTGCTCCCAGGCCCTAATAGTGTGAGCTTGCTGGCACCACAGCCACGCAGGGGCTTGCCCGGAGCTCTCACCATGGCGTGTGTGACACGACCAGCCCACGCTCTTGTGTTTCCCAGGCTTTCCAGCGGCGATGCTCCCAGGTTGCAGCAGAAATCCTCCTTGCTTGCTGTGGGCACAGCCGGAGCTTTCGCGCTGCCTACAGCGGTCCTCAGGGTTTTGTGGGTCTTCTCTTGGCGTTGCTGACGCTCTTCAGTCTCAAGGCATCAGCAGCTTGAGCTTTCTCCTGCCAGCAAAGGGCATTAATGCGTGAGGCCCAGTAGTGTCCCTCCAGGGCAACTCTTCCTTGCCACTTGGCTCCCCTGAAGCCCTGCCGCGGTGGATCCTGCATTTCCCACCGCCTCCTCCCTGAAACCAAAGGCCCTGTAGGTTCAGCCACAGCCTCGGACCATTCCTGGGCGGTCTCTGAAGGTCCTCACCAAAGATTACAGCACGGACTTTGGTTTTGCCCATGCGGCCCTTCCGGATGTCCTCTTTTCCTCTGCTTTATGCATCAACCGCCCTGCGCATCCCCTGCTGACACCAGCCGAAAGGCAAAGGTCGCACAGAGCGGAGCGTTTCAGGAGGGGATGATCAGGACTAGCTCCGTCCGTCCTGCTGCGAGCTTGTGGGTAAAGCCTGGCCCAGCTCCGGGCGCGCAGAGCTTTCGGGCTGTGCACAGGTAGGTTGCAATAGCAGAGATGAGCTGCTTCATATCTCGCACGTGTCTGTGTGCTCACGCGCATGTCCTGGAGACCCCTCCGGTGCCTGCACGGCCTCTCGGGCAGACGGGGTGGCCGTGTCCACGGGTGGGTGTGTGCAGCTCTGTGGGTGAGAGCGGCCTCACTGGGACATGCGAGTGGCGACCAGGAATCGCTGCTGGGCAGGGGGGCGGGGAGGCACTGGCACCCCAACCTGGGGGGGGGGGTTCTGCGCCACCCCTAAAATTGCAGAGGGAGGCAGAGAGGAGAAGGCACTGCCCAAGGGATCAGCCTTGCCTTTGACAGTCCCCAGCAGAGGGCAATAGAAGCAAATAGAAGAGACAAGACCTTGCAAGGGATGTGCAAGAGGAGTGGTTTGCAAGCCCGAGCGATGTGCAAGTGGGGGCAACGTGCAGACACGGTGATGTGCAGCGGGACCGGTGCCTGGTGGGGGGCTTGAGAAGGAGGGCAAAGCAGAACTGCAACTCAGGGATATTTTAGTAGGGGTTGAAGCCAAACAGTGCTTTCATAAATCCGAAATGAATTGCTTTGGGTTTGGATGGAGAAGAAAGGGGAGATATTTAACCCTTTTGTTTAAACTTTCTTGATTTTAGGTCAGTTTTTATGTAGAAAGTGCTGCCTTGACAGGCATGGCCGAGCACCTCCAGTGAATGGTGCTGGAAGGAAAGGCTCAGAGAGCTCCCAGCACCAATTAT